TATCTATCTATCTATCTATCTATCTATCTATCTATCTATCTATCTATCTATCTTATTATATCCCAGGCCCTAAAACCACACTCATTATGTACTACCACAAGATGTAAGATAGAAAGTGATAGAAGGTCCCAATGTCAATTTCTGGCCTCCACACACATGTACACACATGTGATGCACACACATATATAGTCCTACACATGAAACATATATACACAAAGGCATACACCATACCTAAAAAGATGCAAAAACACATGTAACTTCATAAAAATGTTTAAATGATAATATTCAGAAGATACTATAGATCATCTTATCACCAAAAATATTTTGATAAAAATTAGAAAAACATTAGACCAGAGTAAGCATTGACTGGCATGTTAAGAGGGACTTGTATCTAAGGCCTATAGAACATACATACTTGAAAGAAGAACTATTTGGGGTCAAAACTGACTTATCAATTAGAGAACACATTCACTAACCTGGGGAGGGGCCTGGGACAGGTTGGGATTTACCAGAACTCCCAAAGGTGCTTCAGATCTGTCCAACGTGCTGAGTGGCTGGTTCAAAGTTCCACTTGCAATGGCCTGTATTGTCTCATCTAGTCTGTGGTAACAAACCAAAAGGAGGCAGTAACTGGTAATCTTCTATGCTTAGAGTGTCCAAACTTACCACATGCAACCTTTCAGTAGTAATAAAAATTGGAATTGAAAGTTTTATTTGGCTGTGCAAGGTGGTGCACACCTGTAATCTCAGAACTCTGGAAGGCAGAGGCAGAAGGATCACTGTGAGTTTCAGATCAACCTGGTCTACAAAGTGAGTTCAGGACAGCCAAGGCTATACAGGGAAACCCTATCTCAAAAAACAAACAAAAAAAAAACAAAAAATTCTTTTGGTTGTTGTTGTTTTTGAGATAGGTTTTTTAAAAATATGTATTTATTATGTATACAGTATTCTGTCTGCATGTACACCTACACACCAAAAGAGGGCACCAGATCCCAGTATAGATGGTGTGAGCCACCTATACTAGTATGGGTGCTGGGAATTGAACTCAGAACCTCTGGAAGAGCAGACAGTGCTCTTAACCTCTCAGCCAGCTCTCCAGCCCTGAAAAAAAAGTTTTATATGTAGACATAAACAACCTTCCCTGTTCCCAACCTCACCTTCTTTTTGTACCAAGAATTCTAAGGAAAACAGATAGGGCACACTACTCTTTTGTCTCTGTAACAAGGTCAATCACATGCCAAGATTAGAAAAGATGACCAGTACTAACCTGGTCCACAGAAGAGGATTCTGGAGGCCCTCATCTAGTAAAGGGACTACAGCTATTCTGCTACTGAGGAGTCCCCTTTTCCACTCCTCCACACTAATCTCAACTCTATCCTTGGTTTAAGTTGCAAAAGGTCTTGTTTCTGTTTTTAAAAAATTTATGTACAGCCAGTGTGGTAGTTCATGCCTTCATTCCCAGCACTCAGGAGGCAGAAGCAGGTGGATCTCTGTGATTTTGAGACCAGGCTGGTCTACAGAGTGAGTCCCAGGACAGCCAGGACTACATAGAGAGACCCTGCCTCAAACAAACAAACAAAACTCCCAAAACAATGTATGTTGATGTGCCTATGTGTGAATGGATTTCTTGGAGCTGGAGTCAGAGGTGGTTGTGAGCCACCTAAAGACAGTACTGAGAGCTGAGCTTGGGTCTTCTACAAGCACAATACAGGCTCTTACCCAGACACTGCTCTAGTTCCAACACTCAGAAGTTTTAAAGAAGCCTCTTTCTTGTGCACCACAAAAGTGATTACTTGTTTTTCTCAAGTCTTGCATCTACTCTGAATAATCACTACAAACACACACACACAGAGAGAAACAGAGACACTTAAACAGAGACTGTGTGTGGAATCCTTGGGCTTTTAAGATATCATACCCATTCCAGGCATAGTGGTACATCTCTTCTAGTCCCAACACTCTGGAGGCAGAGGCAGTCAGACCTCTGAATTCCAGGCCAGCCTTAGTAAGCTCCAGATCTGCCAGAGCTACGTAATGAGACCCTGTCTCAAAAAAAAAGAAAAACAAAACCAAAACCAAAAAACAAAAAAACAAAACAACATCCTACCTTTGCAGGCCACTCGCTCCATGAATAATATCCCTAACTATATATCAGAAAGGAACAATAGCCTAACCCAAAGAAGAGTTTTTGTTGTTTTGGTTTTTTTGGTTTTTTAAGACACTGTCTCTCTAGTAGTCCTGGCTGTCCTGGAACTCACTCTGTAGACCAGGCTCGCCTCAAACTCAGAGATACACCTGTCCGTGCTAGGATTATAGGCATGAGCCACCACTGCCTGGCTGAGAAGGGGGTTCTTATTCCACTCCATTATCATGCTCTACTTCCTGCTGTATTCATAGGCCTTGTTGAATACTTAACATTTTTGAGTGATGGTGATAATTCTGAAGCACTGCATAATGCAATTCACCAATTAATAGAAAAGACTGGACTTAATCATGCATTCAAATAAAAAAATACATTTGTTAGAAAATTGTTATATGGGGCTGGAGTAATGGCTCAGCAGTTAAGGAGACTGACTGTTCTTCCAAGGAACCCAGTCGTCTTTTCCTGGTGTTAACCACCATGGTGGTTAACAACTGTGTTTTACTCCAGTTCTAGGGAATCAGACACCCTCTGTGACCTCCACAGGCTCATGGTGCACAGATATGCATACTAGCATGATGCCCATACACATAAAATAAAAATAAATAAAATACCAAAGAAGGAAAGGAAGAAAGAAAACTTTTCACATGCTCTGCAGGTTAAGATTAGGCTGGAGAGATGACTCGTCAGTTAAGAGTGGTTGGTGCTCTTGCAGAGGACCAGAGTGTGGTTCCCAACATCCACACTGAAGGCCTCAAAACCGTCTATAACTCCTACTCTAAGGAAGCTGGCTTCCTATTCTGGCTTTTATGGGCTCATACATACAAATGTAAATATACACATGTACATGTACACGCGCGCGCGCACACACACACACACACACACACACACACTTTTTTAAAAAAATTAATTCAACATCCACCCATATATATTTTTTGTTTTGTTTTTTCCGGCAGGGTCTCTCTAGGTAGTTCTGGCTGTCTTAGAGCTTGTTATATAGACTAGGTTGATCTCTAACTCAGAGATGTGCCTGCCTCTGCCTCCTGAGTTCTGTGAATAAATGTGAGTGACACCACACCTGGCCCAGTTTTTTAAGTGGAAAAGACATGGCTCTTTCTGTTGAGAAGCTCTGACATTAGGCATGGTGGTGAATGTCTGCAATTCTATCACTTAGAAAGCTAAACAGTATGTGTCTGAGGTCAGCTTGAAACACACAGCCAGATCCTGTCTCAAAAACCAACTCAACAATAAGGCAGTTTTGAATCTAATGGGCAGGTTTAAGACCACTGTGTATACGCTGTGCCATACATGAAAAGATCCAATATTTATTATGGGATAGACACAATCCAACTCATGGTTATTATTGCACCATCTCATGTGTTACACCATGCAGGTTCAAGGGAAAGATATATATTGGAAAGGTAAAGGTATTCAAATAGAAAGGAAAGCAAACAAAGGCAGAAGCAAAAAAAAAAAAAAAAGTACGCACTTGAAAAGGCTAGAGGTCAATGTGGGGTGCTGTCCTCTATGTGACAGGATCTCCCACTGAACCTGGAAGCTGCCTGGTTTGAGTAGACCGGCTGGCTAGGAAGCTCAAGGTGTCCTCCTCTCTCTGCCTGCACAGCTCTGAGATTACAAGGCTGCTACCAGGCTAGTTTTTTTTTTTTGTTTGGTTTGGTTTGTGTTTGTGTTTGTTTTGTTTTTTTAATGCAGGTTCTAGGGAATAACCTCAGGTCCTTTTCTTTGCATATCAAGCACTTTACCAACTAAATCATTTCGTCATGCCTCACTGATTTACTGTGCTCTCTGAACTGTACCCTTTTGGGGTGCTGTTTTAGGTCTTTGTTTTATTAAGGAGAGTAACACATAGCCCAGGCTAGCCTCAAACTTACGACTTGACCTGGAATTCCTGATCTTCTCTCGTCTTATCAAAGTGCAAGGGTTATATATGTGTACCACTGTGCCTGGTTTCATAGTTCATTTTGAAAATCCTCAGCTACTCATCTATTTCCTGCTCTAAATTAACAATTATTTTGTATTTTGTTTTTATTATTTGAGGTGCTAGGGATCAAACCCCGGGGCTCAGGGATACTAGGCAAGTGCTATACCACTTTGCTACAATCCCAGCCTTAAACATTTTATTTATTTACTTTTTTGTGGTGCTCGAAATTATTTTTTTTTTGTTCTTATTACTTTTTCTTTTGATTTGTGAAACAGAGTCTTGTTTTATGACTCACCCAGATTGTCCTGGGACTCATTATATCGCCCAGGCTACTCTCATGCTATGTATCCTGTGCCTTACACCTCTTAAGTGCCATGATTTCAAGCAAATACTGCTATAAAGAACTCTACCATTATAAAATTATTGGTGCTCTTTCCTTTCTGCTGCCACCATGCCATCCAGACTGAGGAAGACGCGGAAACTCTGGGGCCACGTTAGCCACAGTCATGGCCGCATCAGTAAGTACCGCAAACACCCGGGAAGCTGAGGGAATGCTGGAGGCGTGCAGCACCACAGGATCAACTTCGACAAATATCATCCAGGGGACTTTGGGAGAGTTGGTATGAGGCATTACCACTTAAAGAGGAATCAGAGCTTCTGCCCAACCGTCAACCTGGATAAACTGTGGACACTGGTCAGTGAGCAGACACGGCTCAATGCTGCAAAAAAACAAGACTGGGGCTGCTCCCATCACTGATGTTGTGCGATCGGGCTACTACAAAGTTCTGGGGAAGGGCAGGCTCCCTAAGCAGCCTGTCATAGTGAAGGCCAAATTCTTCAGCAGAAGAGCTGAAGAGAAGATTAAGGATGTGGGAGGTGCCTGTGTCCTGGTGGCGTAAAGCCAGCCAGGGAAGTTAATTAAATGCTAACATTTTCCAAATAAATAAATAAATTTTTAAATTTTATTTTGTGTGTGAGAATGTGCATGCATGTGCAGGCCACAACACGTTTGTGGAGGTCTGAGGACAACTTGTGGAGCTGGCACCCTCCTCTACCATATGGGGTTCCACAAAGCAAACACAAGCTGTCAGGCTTAGCAAGTAGGCCTCTTTACCTGCTGAGCCAACTCACTGGCCCTCCATCATCTTTACTTCTTTCTTTTTATCTTTATATGTATAATATGTGCATATGAGATGTATACATGTATGCGTGTGTGAAAGTGAGGGCAGACAGTGTCACAGTGTGTATGGAGTCGGAGTACACCTCAGGTGTCGGTCCTCACCTTCCAGCCTGATTCAGACAAGTTCTGTTTGCTGTTTGCCACTGCACACAGCAGGCTAACTGGCCTGTGAGCTTCAGGATGCC